CAAAGAAAAGTCATTAACGAGGGACGGTTTTATGACGCATTTTTCAATCTCCCTTCATTATCTTGTTCAGGCCATGATTCAAATACCTCATCATAATTCAGGTTTAAAATGAATCAATGGCTGGAAACCACGAAGGAGGCTTCAGGAGAGGCCATGAGAAAAAAAATAATTATAACAATAATCAGTGTATCAATTTTTAATTTTGTTTAGAGAACCTGTTTATTGCCGCAACGACAGTGACGGTGAGAGCGGTAAAATATAGACACGCCGACGCCCTAAAAGTGAACTTTGTGTGTTAAAAACCTTTATTCTTCTTTATACTATGGGACCTCTTTTTCTTTGATCTTTTTCTTGTCGCACTTTGAGTGATTTGAAAGTATTTTGTCACTTGACTATGAAATTAAATTTTAATAGTTTAACCTGGTATAAGGTAAAGAAAAGGAAGAAAAAGAATTGGAAAAATTCCAAAAGGCACAAGAAATAGAGTAACAAACAATGCAAGCACCAAATCTGCGCTCAAGAAATCTGATCGGATCGATTACTTTTCGTAACTAATTATCTCCAACGTCGAAAGAAAATATCGACCCGCACAACCTAGCAATTTTTAGGCGTTTATAATTTAACAATTCAAACGACGATCAATTCGTACTATTTCTACGATTTCTTGCAATTGGTCAATCATCATCCCAAACGCCCCAGTCAGCGATCCGTGAAAAATGGTGATGTAACCTTAAACACTCACACAAATTGAGTTAACTTAGTGGCGTGGGCTCCTCTTTAAAGTGCCTTGACTCTTGAGAGAGTCAGAGCAGCTAAGGTAACTTAATAACAGATCTAGAACTAGTTTGAGATTTGTGGTGTATCTTCATGGTTTTACTTTTCATGATACGTGTTTTATTTTACTGATTCCTTAGCTAGTAAAAGATTCTTTAAGTTTCATTTGCTAACGATATAAAACAATTCGAGGACCTTTAAAGACCGGTAAGTAACAAAAAGACATGTACAAAACAAAAGCTTCAAGTCTTACAACTCAACGATAAAGCTAAATCTGTGCTTGGGTGGGAAAGTTCTTGTAGAGTTTTAGCTTGATACCCGCAAAAATTCCCTAAAGTGAACTCTCTCAATGGGAAATGTACGTCCCGAAAAAAAGGTTCGGAACTCATCGACCCATTTACTCTCTAAGAATTATTAAAGGAGAATAAAGGAAATGATCACAAACTAAAAAAAAGATCTTGATTGTTAAAACAAGTGTTGTCAAGGAAGTGATTGGCAATTTTTCAAGTCAGAGCATAATGCATAAGCTCTTCTAGATTAAAAGCCCAAAAAGCGTCGGCCATCTATGCGAAAAATGCCAACTGCTCCCCAAAACAGATTAAGAATAAAAAATTATGACCTAACCAACAGCAATGGATGACTATTTCTGAAGATAATATAAGTGAAATAACCAAATCGGATCTTTATCAGTAAATTAATGAACAAAAATGTTTCGTTGACTCTATATCGGTTGATTACAGCAAGTACTGTATTTATATCGTATGAAACTGACCTTTGTTGGATTTCTTTTGAGATCCTAGTTTGAAATATAATAGTCAGATGTAACTGTAGGCAAGATTATTGTCTTCTCGTCATTTAACTATAAAGAATTGCGATAAAATCGAAAAGTTTAAAAACTTAAAAACCATCTTGGTTTAAGAAAAATACGAATGACGTTTCGACGTTCGCTTAACGTATTAGGGACCTTAAGCGAGGTCGACGAAAAGGACAACGACGACGAATATGTCTGCGCGAAGTCTGGGTCGAGACCGTTGTTAACTGGTAAAAAAAGGGCGGGAAAAAGCGAACTTAAGCTGCTCTCGACATGAACGTGAACGTAAACAAATGAAAAAAATTGTTTCAAAGCTCCAGTTTTACCATTACGGTTTCTTTTCACGAACTTCAGGAGCTTTTTCTCCTTAGCCACTTCCATGGATATTTAAATGATGAAGAACTGTTGCTGTTATACGAAGAATACTGTCCAAATAATCCAGATTTTCCTTACGAGAATTGTGGCAGGTTTTCACTCGAATACATGAACGATTCAGAGTTTGTGGCAGAATTTAGATTCAGAAAACGTGACCTTCCACTACTCGCAGAGGTCCTCCAAATTCCAGATAGCTTTACGTGCTACCAAAGATCCGGTAATGATCGCCTAAACAAATCCATTACAACTCTTGAAACCTACGTGGTTCACTTAAGGAAGTGCCTACAAAAAGAAACAAAAATAAAGCGATTTACAAAACGTTACGGCCAAAACTATGATCAAAAAAATATTTCTAACTAATTTAGATGGCATATTCCTAAATTATTCCGGTTTTCTAGGGACAAAAACTTTCAAACGGAGAAAAAATAGCCCAATGAATACTCACGTTCACTAGTCGACGTAAAAAAGATTATATTAAACGAAAAGAGAAATGAAAGCTTTAACTTTTAATCAACACTAATCCAGTGTTTAGTGATGATGTATGAAACGTTTCTTCCTTAAATTTCAGCCGTTTTCACTTTAAGCACAAATAGAAAATAATACTCAAGAGATAGTGGATATACTGTATGCAAAATATTCGTTGACAAATTTTCAGAGGTAAGAGATAGGAAATCACTGACTGCATGGTACAAAGATAATACAAAATCGAAAAGTTTCGATGATTTCATATTGTGCAAGAGTTTTGGTAGAACACCCGCGCTTTCTCGACCCCACCTATAGTGTTTTTCTGACAGCTGTTATATTTTTTAATTAATCACAGTGTTCGGAATGCCCAACCGACCAAAAGAAAAAGAGTCTTCTGTAGTCGGATATCGTCTTGCATGTTGATTAAATATCGTTGTGTTTACATCCAAAATTTCAGTGTTTATTTAAGCGTAAACACTACACCATGGTGTCTCGAAACTTTCAATAATGTCAACCGTAACTGTCGGGGTCCGGGAATTAAGGAGTAATTAAGCGGAATCATTTAGACTTGCTTTTCCAAAATGTTTTTCTCAGCTCTTTCATAATTCATTTGTCAACTTTATTTTGTAAATCACGATTCTTAAGTTTTCGATAGAAAACAAATTCAAGATTCCTTCTAATTTAACCGCTATAATTACTGATTCATGATTCCGCTCCCTCTCTCAAAGCTAAACTGGACTCCCTTGCTCAGAATTTGTCTGTAAATCTGATTTAAACCAATTTCCTATCATATCATATTCATCCCTGATTCTGTAAATTGTCAAATGTCCGGTGGTAAGATGCGGTGCATTGTATTTCAAGAGTTTACATTAACCTGTGATAACCCACAGCATTAATTTGAAAATAATTATATGGACCTCATTCTCGTCGATGACTGAGATACCTCTTTGCCCAATCTTTAAGAGATGGTCGTCAGGGGGAACTAGGCTGTCGTTTTGTAAAAGGAGAATATTTTAAAGAAAAGATCTTTGAAAAGATCTCTTGTGGTTTAGGTGAAACTCGGAAGTACCCGCTTTCCATTAGTTTTCTTGGGTACTTGTCAACAAAATGCCTTATAAGGCCAGACGGTGGTCACGAAAGAAAAACTACTCTGGAAAAAGGTCGATGAATTTTATTTTAACATAAAAAGAAAATAAAATATTCGGACAGATGTCAAAGAAAATTAATCAACGAGGGACGGTTTTAAGACCCTTTTTTAATTTGCCTTCATTACCTTGTCGAGGCTCTGATTCACATACCTCATCATGACTTGTTTAAAATGAATCAATTGTTGGAAACCACGAAGGAGGGTTCAGGAGAGGCCATGAAAAAAGAAAAAAAAATTATAACAATAATCAGTGTATCATAATTCTAAATTTTGTTTAGAGACTCTGTTTATTACAGGAACAACAATGTGAGACTGTAAAACATAGATACGCCGACGCCCTAAAAGTGTGTGTTTAAAAACCTTTATTCTTCTTTATACCCTGGGACCTCAGTCTTTTTTTTGTTCTTTTTTGTTCTTTTTCTTATCACACTTTCAGTGATTTGAAAGTATTTCGTCACTTGACTATGAAACTCACCCAAACAAATTGTCAAGTTAAATTTTAATAGTTCAGCCTGGTACAAGATAACAAAAAAAAAAAAAAAATAATAATAATAATAATAATAAAAAAATGGGACAAATTCCGAAAGGCCAAGAAATAAAGGGTAACAAACCATGTAAGCACCAAGTCTGCGCTCAAGAAATCTGATCGGATCCATTAATTTTCGCAACTAATTATCCTTCAACGTCGAAAGAAAATATCAACCCGTACAACCGAGTAATTTAAGTCGTTTAAATTTTAACAATTCAAAAGACGATCAATTAATTAGTATGATTTCTTGCAATTGGTTAATCATCATCCCAAACGCCCTAATCAACGATCCGTGAAAAATGGTGATGTAATATTAAACACACACACACACAAATTTAATTAACTCAGTGGCGAGTCTCCTCTTCAAAGTACCTTCTTTGTTGTAAGAATTAGAACAGGTAAGGTAACTCACTATTGTTACGATTTCTTGTAATTGGTCAATCATCATCCCAAACGGCCTAATCGACGATCTCTGAAAAATGGGGATGTAGTATTAAACACACACAAATTTAATGAATTCAGTGGCGAGTCTCCTCTTCAAAGTGCCGTCACTATTGTAAGACTCAGAACAGGTAAGGTAACTTACTTTGTTACGATTTCTTGTAATTGGTCAGTCATCATCTCAAACGCCCTAATCAACGATCCGTGAAAAATGGGGATGTAAAATTAAACACACGCACACAAATTTAATTAACTCAGTGGCGAGTCTCCTCTTCAAAGTACCTTCTCTATTGTAAGACTCAGAACAGGTAGGGTAACTTACTTTGTTACGATTTCTTGTAATTGGTCAGTCATCATCTCAAACGCCCTAATCAATGATCCGTGAAAAGTGGTGATGTAAAATAAAACACACACACAAATTTAATTAACTCAGTGGCGTGGTCTCCTCTTTACAGTGCCTCGACTATCGTAAGGTGAGGTAGCTTAATAACAGATCTAGAACTTGAGATTCGGGAAAAATCTTCATTGTTTTTACTTTTAATGATACGTGTTTTATTTTACAGATTCCTTTGGAAAAGATTCTTTTAGTTTCATTTACTAACGATTGATAACAACTTGAGGAGCCCTGAAGACAGGTAAGTGACAAAAGACATGTACAATACAAAAGCTTAAAGTATTACAACGCTAGATAAAGCTAAATCTGTGCTGGGGTGGGAAAGTTCTTGTAGAGTTTTAGCTTCTGATACTCGCAAACATTCCCTTAAAAATGAACTCTCTCGATGGGAAATGTTCGTCCCGAAAAAAAGGCTCGGAACTCATTGACCCTTTTACCCTCTAAGGGTGAAAAAAGGAGAATAAAGGAAATGATCACAAACTAAAAGCAGATCTTGATTGTTTAGAAGAAATGTTGTCAAGGAAGTGATTGGCAATTTTTCAAGCCAGAGCGTAATGCCTGAGCTCTTCTAGATCAAAAGCCTAAAACGCGTCGGCCATTCACGCGAGGAATGCCAACTGTTCCCTACAAGACCCTCCAACAGATAAAAAATAAAAAGTGACAACCTAACTAACAACAATGGACGACTATTTCTGAACATAATATAAGTGAAGTAACCAAATCAGATCTTTATCAGTGAATTAATGATCAAAAAATGTTTCCTTGACTCTATGGGGGTTGATTAAAGCAAGCACTGTATGTACATTGTATGATGAAACCTTTGTAGGATCTGTTTTGAGATTTTCAAGTTAATCGCACTATGTTTAAGTGTTGTATATTGAAATTTAGCATTCGCTTTCAAGTTGCAGGCGCTCTGCTTTCGGACGTTGTTTAGTAAGCATGACCTTGGCAGCCACTTTCGTTTTTCTTGCTGTGGTACAAGGAATTCAAGGTGAGACAATTGAGGAGCAATGCTTATCTTTACAGCTCGATAAACCCGCGCGTGATGTTCAGAGAACAAGTGATTTACAAACTTGTCGAGTGTTCTCCAACGATGATAACCCATGTGGGTTTTCCAGGTTATAGAGCCGAGGAAAATGTGTTTTATTACCCATATAACATCAAGGTAAAAGGGTTTTGCCAGAGAGAAAAATAAATTAAACATCTACTTTGCGACCAAGTCGCCGATTTTCAGCAACCACAGTCAAAACTGAGCGACGGAAAAACCAATCAAAAGGCTCGAGAGAAAATGATCAACGGGCGAGAAAGACGATGAGTGAATTTAATGGTTAACATGATATAGGACTTTCAGGAAAATTCTTGAATGAAATGCTACTTCAATTTCTTGTTATCGATTCCTTGAAGCAAGGAAAAAAAGGAACTTTTGTTTTCGTGGCATAAGTTTTGAGAAATTTGATTGTGGATTTTTTACTATTAGTGCCCTTTAAATTTGAAGTTTACAGCCCTAACCTTTCAGTTCAACTACATACTTGTAATCTTATCAATCGCCTTGATAATGAAATAATTGTTTCCCCAGACCTTTTAACCCGCTTTAAATATTAATTTGTAAATTGCCTTCATCGACATTGCGGGAGTTCATATCATTATAATAGGATTGACAGTGGTGCGAAGATTTGCAAATTCAATCAAGTACCAATTGTGATGTATGCGGCCGATAACGGCCAGCGGTTATATTTGTTTCGCATGCCCACAAGGTCAGAAATAAACAACATGGCTTCTGTATGTTACACCATTCAGGTGAAGCGCATTATGTATTATAAAATGCTATTAGTTTCAGTTCGAAAGGAACGTTTCCTCTTACGTATTTTCCCTTCCCGTGAATATTGATTTGTAAATTACACTCGTTGTTGTGGGAGTTCAAATGAAAGTAGGATTTACAGTCGGGTATAGTCTTGAAAAATATAGGAATCGACCATGCAATCAGGTAAAGCTTATTATGTGAAGCCTGCAATTAGTTTCCTTCTCACGTATTTTCCCTTCACGTACCACATTTTTCGTAGCAAAAACGTCTGTATGCCATATACGATAAAAGCAACATGAGGCATCGAAGCGTAGCCCATGAGCTAATCAGTGAATAAAATAGAAGCAAAATCTAACATTATAACTAAAAACTAACATCATCGTTATAAAACCTATTAAAACCGATAATATATATAGTTATATGCAGTTAGATATATATATATATATATATATATAACAAGTTAAAAGGCCTCGAGCCAACAGTAACGCCGCGCCAGAAGGATCCAAAAGGATTCACAGTCCAAACCTCGATAAATGGTAGGAGAAGTAGTGTGGCACACGAGGACGGACAACTTCGAGCGAAGGAAGACATATACTCAATAAAAAGTCTAAAAAGTTTAATAAAAAACGTTTCGGTCCGAGACCTTCATCAATTTATATATATATAAATTTGTTCTTCTTTCCAGAGTTTGCCTAGGAGTTAAATTACCACTTTAAAAGTGCGCGCACTATTTAGAGTTCCTGAGAGACACGCCTTCTGCATCTTCTTAATACACCTTTAGCTTTGCGGCCTACTTGCTTCTGTAGAGTGACATCCAAGTCCTTGTCATTATCGTTATTCTTATTACTTTTATTATTATTATTATTATTATTATTATTGCTATTATTGTTATTATAAGGTCCAATTCTTGTTTCCTCTTCAAGATTTACTTCAAATTTGTTCTTTTCTACAACTTGAATAAACTAAAATGTACGCATTGTACAATTGAGTTTCTCATGCATGGTTTACGAGGAAAAAGGATGTTGCCCAATGAAGATACCACAATAACTGGAATAGTGAAAAGAGAAGAGTGCATGTGTATGTTCTTGTTTTAGCAAGGTAAATCTCAATCCGTTGTTTTCTAATTTTCTGACTTCATTTGATTAAATTTCAGCTAACAAGCTTGGCAAGCCATTCAGTATTCTTGACGGTTTGAGGCCAGTCTTACCTAGCGATGATAATATCAGTCCACTATTTTACCCAGTGACAAAGTCCACACTGTTGAAAAACGTACAACATCAAACCACCCAGAGTGGCAGTACATACTTCGATGACTTTATCCAGTTGACCTTCCATCCTGATGAAAAGGATTTAACCAAACAATTCTTCGCCATTTGGCGTTTTGAGGATGAGATCCGTGACGCAGCAGCATTCACCTATCAACCGAGTTCAACTAACTTGGATTCCTATGCGCAACTTCTTGGGATAACTCCTTGTAACATGGTGGGAAAATCTTATGTTCTGGCACGCTATTGGAAGAAAATAAGTTCTACCATTATCACCAATTCAGAATTTTCAAACCTTGAGCCAACCTCCGTTTCCCCAGATGCTACAAGTGACAACATAACAGATCTTTTTTCAAAATACGGTACCCATTACGTTTCAGGTTATGAGATGGGCGACTTTATTTATCAAGTATTTGTGTACGACAAAGAAATCGGTTCAAAGAAAGTCCGTCCATTCTTTCCCTTCCATGATCCTTCTTTCAGCTTTGGTTCCAGAGGTTACTCTTTCCGACCGTTTACCCAGCCAAGAGATGGAACAGTTGGATATTGTCTTGAGGCGGGAAAGATTTTGGCAGCGAGCGGTGATACTGCTTTGAAGGATATCCTACCGAAACTGAAGGACGACGTGTACAAAGTGAAGGAGAGTATAATTATGTTTTTAGTAACAAAAGCTTACCAAGACACAGAAAATCTAAAAAAGTTAATCCCAATGAGCCTTTCCTTCAAAGCAATTGTTAACACACTCTTCATGGCAGAATCACCCTCTAAGTTGAAGTGGAACGAGATACTATCTTCGACGATCTTCCAGAAATTTGGGGCAGCCAGCTACCCAAACTTTCCTTTGCTTGTTGACCCTAATGTTGCTAGTTTTTATGGAAGTTTCAACCCTGACCTTGTAACATCCACCGCTACTAACTTTGTCACCATAAGCCAAATGAAGTTTATTCTGGATGAGTTCGTTGTTTCAAACCCTAAGTTCGTCACGCATTTATTCATCTTTGCCGATGTCTTGCAAATCAGTGAAACTGCCAAGCTGATGCTTCCTGGCTCAAAAAAGATTTATCTTGTGTGTCGAGAATTCTTAGCTTTATCCTCTGGTAATAAAGTACCAGAAATAATCGTTGGATCCCATAAAAATTCTGAGCCCCTCGTTAAAATATTTGCCAAAACCTTTCGTGGAGTATTGAAGCTGACCCAATACAAGACTGACACACATTACACTTACGCAAACGATTACGTGTACAAGACTGTGGAAGACCCAAACGACCAATTTACAGTCAAGGTCGACAATACCAAGAAACTGGTCTACCCTGATAGGAAAACTGCAGCGGAATTGTACGACAGCAACGGAAAATCACATGACGCAAGGTGGGTCTACCAAAGCTTTGTGAACAGCTTAGAGCTAGCTGCGACCAGTGTACAAAGCATTTTGGCCGCCCGTTCCTCGCCCAGTTTAATGAACACAGCCGGGAAATCAGCAGGCGAAAGTTTGAATTGGATAGCAGAGACCCTGTGGACATCTTTACCCTTATCCCCCGACCTTGAAATGGTCCTTGGTCGTGTTTTACTTTTAAGTAAGACCCAGCTGACAGAGTACGCTAAGTCAAGACTCATCGTCCCAAGGTTAACTTTCCTACAATATAAAGCGCTCTACAATAAACTATTGACAGCGGTTGCCAACTACGAAGCCACATATAGAACAGTCTCCACTGAAATACAACGTCACAAACAGCTAGAGAAAATAACCACTTCTTTGAAAGAACTCAACAAAAATGTCAAAAGCACTGGTACTTTCTTGGTTGAAAAGGCTGAAGTGAACGCCAAGTACCAAGATGACGTTGCCAATACTCAGCAAGCTCTTCATGACTTGGAGAAAGATCAAATCAGCCGTAAAGAAGCCGAGGCACAAAGGTTACTTCAGGAGATCATAAAAATCCAAGACGAGGTGAAAAATAAAGGAGACGCGTTGGTTAAAGCAGTTAAACAGTACCTAACAGAGCAAATAATCTCAACCATTGTCAGCGTTGCTGAAGTCATCGGGTCGTTGTTTACGGGAGGCGTCGGCCTGGCGAATATCGACAAGAAACTGACAGGGATTGTCCGAATTGCGGAAAAGATAAAGAATATTGTCCAAATTATTGAGCAAGTTAATAAGCTTTATGCACTCGGCAGAGATTTGAGGAATGATATTGGTACGGTCAACCGAGCTTTAGATAACATTCCAAGTGTATCGATCAGTAAAGATAGTTTCCCAACAATGCAGGACTGGGAAGATTTTGAAAATGATGTGGTGTCCTTTACAAGTACTTCAGGCTTTCTACCAGAACAGGTGGCCGGAGAGGCGTTGGATTTTCAGCGTGAGGCAAAACGTTTATCGTCAAGGGGCAAGAGCTACGTAAACATTGCTGCAAACATAGCCGAAAGAAAATACAAACAAATACAAATCGAAATGCAGCGAGATCTCGCCAAGAGACAGAGCGCTCGTTTACGAACACTCAAGACCATATTGAAACAAACAGACCTCTCGGATAACGATGCCAAAACTACTGATCTCTTTGAAATTGGTAACATTATCAAGATGAAAGAAAACCTAGTACGCTCACAGCTTATCCAAACGTTTGTCACTATGGACGCTGCTCTGGTATACCAATATCTTCAAAACCCAACGCTGGTAACAAGCTATGACACTATGGCCATTCAAGCGGCGGCCATTCGTCACGTGCAATCGTCTATTTTAGCATTAGAAAGCTTTCCCACTAGCCCTGTGAACCTAAAAGAGCCCATAGAATATCCAGTTTCCGATGTAGCCGTCAAAGCTTTGCTATCTGAGGAAGGGTATGCGATTAGAATTCCTTTGACCTCTCTTCCTTTTCTTGAGTATGTGCGAGTCCGTGTTGTGAAAATAGAAGTACAAGCAGACAATATCGCACAGTCCAAAGACGACACTGCATATATTCAAGCTATTGCCTTGGGTGATTCCTTCGAAGACAGAGACCTTAACCGTAATCCCAAGTCCTTTACATCCACACCCACTGAATATCGTTTTGTCTATAACATTAAAACGGGAACATCAGTGGTGGAAGTCAATCCATCTCCAGACTTCGCTGACAAGTTTATAAAAATGACTCCTTTTGACACTTGGATATTCCGTTTTCCAAAAGCTTCCACTAACGAAGGAATCCAGTTCTCGACAGCGCTTACCACTCTCAGGATCAAATTCTTCGTGAACGTCATCTTCCACCCCCCAAAATCGACCAACAGTGACCAACTGTTCCGAAGTCACATTTCCGACGACGTGTTAGGTAGCAAAGCAAAGCTTCTCCAAGATCTGAGCGGTCGCTCATTGGTGCGTGAGTGGGATGCCGTTATGGCAGTGAGCGCTGCGCGCGTGAATCAGCTCTGGAAGAATAAGTACGACAGTAACACCGAGGCTGGATTCGTCAAGGAAATAGTAACCGAAAGATCTCTGGTCCAAGAAACCAGACGATTCAAACTCGAAGCTAGAATCATAATGCATGTTGGGCCACCCATAATTCAGTTTATTAGAAACAACCAAAACAGGGCAACTCTGAAAATCCAAATAAAAAAGGCGACCTTGGAGTACTGGGACATAAGTAAAAGAGGAAATGACGTGGATCATTACAACGAAACTGCAGAAGTTACAGACAAAACTGAGATCACTGGCACCATGAACTTACTTAAACTGGAAGGATCGCTAACAAAAGGGAGAGTGGTACTTGATCTAAGTGATGGAGTATTCGATGTCATACAGTTACCTTTGAGTGACACCCTGAAAGCAAACATCAAAACCCAAATTGAGGTATACTTTAACACCAAGTTAAAATCAGATAATTACGAATTGGCTCGAATCACTTTCGAAGAAAAGCTCACACCAGCCGGTCTTGTGCCAGACAAGTTCTACCTTGCAACGGGTGGATTCGAAACTGCCAGTTCCGGCTACGGGACATTGTATATCTTCTTTAAAACACGTTCGGCTAAATCGACCGTAACAGACCAAACCAAAAAAGACTTTAACGATCCGCTTTCAATTGACAAGAAAGTTATCCCCAATGAATTTGAAGTTGCCTTGTTCATCAGTAATAGAGTGATCTTCGACGATATCATAAGAGAAGACATTGGAAGGAAATTCAAGTTTGGTGCCCACACAGAAGTTCTTCCTGGCCAATCAGTATCACCCAGCCAGCAAGCCGTGTACGTAAAGGGAGATGATGGTGCCTCCCACAGTATCTATATGGCCCTAAAATTTGATAGATATCCAGGGACATACCCTTTTACCTTCGTTATGCCAGGAAACACCCTCACAGTTAAACCTTTAAACAATGGCCAAAAACTTCAAGTGCACTGGGTCAACAACAACTTGGAGTTAACCATCCCATATGTCACTACCTCTTGCGGGAGACTCTTTTGTCATGACTCGACTCAATACAAGTCAGTTAGCTTCAGCACCAAATACGTGAGAAACTTCCAAGCCTCCATTGACAGCGACTTGACGATATCGTACAAAGACGAGTCTGGATCTGTATCCGCAAGTAGTGTACATCATTGGACTGATTTTTTCAAGGCCCACACTTACAAAACTGCGAGAGACACGATCACCAGCAATGTGAACAATTACTTGTCAGGCTTGCAGTTCAACTTTCGAAGCATATCTGCATTTGCGCTCACTCAGGTTCTCTTCCCAAACCAGAAAGTGTTTGTCTTGACCGAGGTCTACATACCAGGCGACATGGTTATCCTTGGCACTGTTAACACCAATCCCACGACAGCCGCCAAGTGATAAACAAGCTGGAATCTAAAATTACAAGCGAAAAGAAGTTTGTTTGCTAGAGTTTTCAGTTCCAATACCAAAGATGCAAACTTAAATTAATGTCATAATAAAGGTGTTAAATTAACTGATCTGATTTCAACTGTTTTCTTAAATTTCTAATTTATAAAGAAGGGCAGTGGGACAAGTACTCGAGACGGCGAGTCTAGTTTTAGCAACTGGGGAGGATGAGCACAACTTGAACGTCGAAAAAAATGGATTTTAAGCATAACAACAATAATTGCGCTCGTAGTGCAATAGCTTAAAAAAAAAACGGTAAATGTTCACGGTTTGCCCACATCATCGGAAAATTTGGTGATTGTTACGCTTCAACTAATTATCAACGAAAGGTCTTAAGCTTTCCTTATCTCTACTTTTGGATTCCTTTTACTTCCCTTTGTTAAGCTGCATACTATCTAGATTGACGAAGAATAAATACACAGGTAGCCATGACAAACTAATTTATTCACATCGTTAAGGACGTGTTCAGGTAGATAGATAGATAGCTTTATTAATTATAAAAAAAATCCATTGCAGCCAAAAGGCTGGATTACGGACTGTAAAAATGTTTACTTAACACAAAATACAAAAGGAATGAAAAACTAATTAAAAAAGGCTAAAAATACTACCTATGTATATGTATTAATATTCATGAACGAAAGAGCAAAAATACTATTGAGATATATTATCATATATATTATAAGTAATACAATTTAAGAAATAGCCGCATTATACATGATGAAGCCATTAGGAAATAGCTGCGTTGTACATGATAAAACTATTCTTTAGTCTATTTGTTCTGCAAAAAGGTGTAAAAGTATTGCCGATGAAATAGGCGGAATTCAAAGTAATTACCAACAAGGCTTTACTTGATAAACATAGCCTTACAAGATGGCGGACAAAAACTAAGAACCTTCGGGACTCGAACCAGTCCCTTGGTGCACGGCCGTGCATATCGTGACAAAAGGTACGTTAAAAGCGCGCTTTCTCCTTAAGGCTACGGTACTAAGATTACATGACGGCAAAAGGCCATGTAATTTGTGGCAGCTGTTCTCTTTAATCTCACTGAATAGGCCCTCCGTCAGCGATTGGCACCGTTGGTAGAGGGTGGCAATATTGCACTCTTTAAGAGCTTCTTGGTAGCCTAAATCTGGGAAAATTATTCGAAGTGTGCGGCGCTGAATTTGCTCTAGCTCTTTAGAGAGATACTTAGGTAGACCATTGTGGCAAACTTGGGAAGCATATTCAGACACGGGCAGGATACACGTAGTATAGAAACAAACTAGCTGCGCAGGGTCTCCTTTTGCACGCTTAAGTTGCCTTAACTGATAAAGCCTGGAGGCTCCTTTTTTGATAACATTCTCTATGTGAGCGTTCCACTAAAGAAAGTGTCCACCTGAAAACCATGCAGACGAGTCTACGCGACCCCCCACTGAATTCGCTCAAATTTGGCTCACTTGTTGCCCACAATGAACCTACAATCTCGACCAAACGGTTTATCCAGATACTGAATTTTAGAGAACTATACTAGCTTTAAGTTTTTTTCAAAAAAAGCGCAAAAGTCCGTGCCAAAAATGAAGTGAATTCATGATGTGGGTGTTTCTCCAAAATCTCAAGCCTACAAAAATTATTTTGCTAAGTGAAAGTAGAAACCTAGATCTTTATGTACAAACATAAAAATATATGATTGTCTGTTTTTATATTTGTGAGCCATCAATCAAACTTGACAATTTTCACCATTTTGCGAAGTAACGGAAAATACCCCTAAAATAGCGGGAAAAAGCAAACAAGCGGCCATGTTTTGATTCATTTCAATGATTTTTCCAGCTTGAGCAATTGATGATCTAAGCAATTACAAAAATAAAAGTGTGTGATGTTTGCATCTTAGATGAAAAATTTTCCCTTGAAATACGGCAATCCGGCGTGCCTGGGAGGGTCACGTGACACGTGCCAGAATATCGTAACACACAGTCCGTTTGTTTATAGGTCTCCATAACGCAAGAAAAACTTCGAGAAGATCTTTAAGAGTATTTTGAAAAACCATTTTGATGTTTCATTCCAGTTTTATCGTATCTAAAAATCATATGGGAAGCCCGGCCGCTTTTTATTTTATGATTATTTTTTATTGCACGGCAACTTCTAGGCCTTTTTAAGTAAGAAAAGTTCTTATTTGTTTGCATTAAAAGCAAAGTAATGATCAAGTATATTGAAAATGCAAATCCAAAATATTTTGGCTATTTTTCTTTTCCGACGGCTTTACTTTGGTAATGCGCTAAGAGGAATGCTTGACTCGCACAGACACCGAGAATTCCCACGCTTTCCATGCACAACCATGCCAGCAGACATTTCGTAAAGATGGGCGATTTCAAATGTGTTTGTTCTTTCACCAATATTATAAGAAAGAAGGTAACCTTTCTGCTCGAAACAAGAGCGTTAGATCTATTTTTATTGTATGTTTGTTACAAAGCCTCCCGGGAGGGAGTAGAGCAAGACGGTAAATTATGTTTGGCTTGTCTTGGGATGGCGGCCAAATAAAGTTTGTAAATATCCTGAGGATCAGAGCAAACGGCAGAGAGGGATATCCAGGAAGATGTCGAGAAAAATATCCGGCAAGATTTCCGTGTAACCCCATAATTCATTATGCATTCAATTCTTGGATAAAAGAAAGCAAAACAACAGATTTCCTTTGGGACTACTGTTTTGTTTTTTATTGGTATGGGGTAAAACGTAGATCTTTCCAAATATACTTACACTTTGGTGTCCTTTGCCAGACTGGACAAGATAACTCATTGTAACAATGCTGTGTCGGAATACCGGCTACTTTTAAAAATAAACACAGCATGAGATAAAATATACGTTTCGTCATGCTTCCGAGTTAAAATAGTACTGTGGAACCCATCAAAACCAGACGCCCTTGGGACCGGAGGAAATGTCCGGTTTAGAGGGGTGTCCGGTGTACTGAGGTTTTACACATAAGGCAATTTTATGCAGCATAA